AAAGTATCGGGTAAATATAATATATTTTAAGATCAGTGTTATGCCAAACATTGTTAAAAATGCTGTACTTGCATTCCTTATACATTGTTAATGAGGTGATATAAATTAGGTGACTAAATTGCTCCTTAGTTTTTACTTTGTAAAAAAAAGCACCATGAAAAAATATTTGTCATTTCTTTACTACATAATTTCTCAGATACTAAAATGCACTAAAAATCAACTGAGAACTTATTCTCTGCATGTTTTTCTCATGCTTCTGACCATAGAAACATTGTTTGTATGTGAACTCCTTGAGACAGTTTTTTGTAGATTATGTTCTCTGGTGTGGAATTCTAAATCCTTTCTAATAAAGAAAAGATGAAAAATAATTTTTCCACTACCTCTTTTATTTTTGAGATTATAATTATAATAATAATATATATATGCAGGTGATATATACATGTGTTGTATATATGTATATATATATGATTGTATGCATATGTACGTGTGTATGTATACATATATAGCTTTGTTTCCCTCTTCTGTTTTCTCCTTCTAAACCCTCCCATCTAAACCCTTTCAAATTCATGGCCTCTTTTTCTTTAAGTGGCGTGTGTGTGTGTGTGTGTGTGTGTGTGTGTGTGTGTTCTTAAATACAACGTGCTCAGTCTGTATAATGTTACTTGTGTGAACTTGCTTTCAGGGCTAACCATTTGGTATTGGATAACCAGTTGGCATGCTCTTGCCTGGGGAAGATAGTTTCTCCTATCTTAGCTGCCTGTAGTTCTTTGTCTAGGGTTGAAGCCTCATGAGATTCTTCTCTTCCTTGTTAGCATGTTTGTTGGTAGCATCCTTGCTTAGGTCCTGTTGATTAGAATTCATGTGTGTAGTTTATATTTCTAAGAAAGACAATTTCACAACAGACTTCCTCCTTTTCTTGCACTGACAATCTTTCCGCCCTCTTCTGCAGGGATCGAGTCTTGGGTGCAGGAGTTGTGCTGTGGATGTACTAGTTGGGAGTAGGCTGCAGACCTCCACAGTTTGACGGGCTGTCTGTGTCTGTCACAAAGAGGAGCTTTCTTGATTAGGGGTGAGAATACACTGCCCTTATGTATAAGGTCAGATATTTAGTTAGTTAGGGATTGTGCTTATTTAGTAAATTGGTTTTAGGTCTGTAAGATCTGTAACTGTAATAATCCTAGATAGTTGGCTAGGTTTCCAGTACAGGCATGACTACCCTGTTGTTGAGCTAACTCACCCAATATCTTTTCTATTGGCATTCTGCTCCCGTCTCTTTATATGGAGGCAAACTGCAGTTATGCCCCTATCAGTCCAGTCCTTGTTTTTAAGGGCTCAAGAATGTGCTGGTAATAACAATCCTCTTCCCATATAAAATATGGCCAATCGAGACAAAACCATCATAGGTAGATGCCAAATCCTTTTGCCTAGAAACGTGTGTTGAATAATGTGGTTTAAATCAAGATGTCATGTTTCTTAGTGTGAGTCCCATAAGACTGCTGTCCTTCCTGTTGCAGGATATGCTGTGTTGGGGAAGACTTGCCATGCTGGGTAGACAGAGGACTGGGTGGAGCAGCATGTTCTGTATGACTGTCTCTTATCAAGAGACACTAAAGAAAGGGTGGAACCAAATAGATCTTCCCACACTCACCTATCCACAGAAAACAGAACAGCCAGGACAAAGTGGTACTAAGCATAAGGAGTAAGAACTACGGCTCTGTTCCCTCACTTGCCTACCATCAAACCCTCTGAACTGGCCTCGTTGACGGACTAAGGCAACATTTGGTCTCCTTCCCCATGCCTGCAAGTGTCTCTGTTGTCTACCTTCCCGTAGGTCTGGTGCTCACTTTCTTATGTCAGTTCTCCTCTCCCACCCTGACCTTCTCCCAATAGAATTAGGGTTATGGTGATGTTCTAATGACCCTCCCTTTCTCATCTCCTTGAAGAGCTCAAATGGTGTTTTTTTCTTTTAATCCCATAAAATGCAGTGTACATATTCCTCTACAGTGGGGATTAGTAAGCTCCCAGCCTACCAGCTGTTTTCATAAATAACATTGTCTTGGATCATAGCCACGTCTTAGCTCACATGATGTCCGTGGCTGCTTTTGGCTACAGTGCTGGGGTCGTGAAGTTGAGACAGAGACCATATGGCCTCCAAAGCCCAACATGTTTGCTATCTGGCCTTTCACAACAAAAATTGGCCAAATTATTTCACATTAATTCTCGAAGATCACAATGAGCATTATTAGAATGTGTAGCCTATATCATTTACTGAAAATAAAATCTATACTTTTAAACAAAGAAACCAACACAGTTATAGTATATGAAGAATTTTGCTTCTGGTAAAACTATTTCTGATCTTTAAAACTTCTGGAGAAACACCAAAGGCATTGTATGTTTGCTTTAAAAGGCCAGAAGGAAGGGCAGAGGCTAACTCTCATCAGTAGTTATCACTACCATTGGAAGAGAAGAAGACTCAGAATGGGTGGAGCCTAGTGTGACAAAAAAAGGAATGGAGAGAATGGGGGAGAGGGGAGGGGAGCAGCACCAAATCCTGACTTCAGATCTCCCTTTGGGAGCAGTTGGCCCTTCCCTTCACACCCTGGACCAGCTCTGGAGATGGGGCCTTCTGATGCATCATGCAGCCTTCCATCACTGAGTGCCTCTGCCTTCCGAGCTTTACTTACTTGTCTCGAAGAGGGAGGGAGAGATCTCACCGTGCCTGACCAGCAGTCTTCAACAGTTTTATAAAAGAGGAATCCACCAAAATCTTCAGGATTGTTTTCTTCCTTCTAAATGGTTGACTTAGAAATGAGTTGCTTGACTCTGTGTAAATATAAGCAGTGTTTCAAAACTAAAACATCTTCTTTTACATTTCTCACATTTGTTTTTATTGCTATGTTATTTAGTCTCCTAAGTGGATACAAAATCATTGAATTTTCACCAGGATAAAATTATTTAGTTGGAAGAAAATTCAGAAGCTGTATTTCACCATGACTTGTTCTTTTCCTTTGTTGTACTTTGCTTCATTTTGTGTCTTTAATGAAATGATCTTGCAGATAGCAGTTCCCATGTGGTCAGTGACCATCCTGCCTGAGCCATCACCCCGAGTGGCATTTGAGTAAACAATGCTTCTGCTTTGCTCCCAGGCGGATGTGTTGTGTGTTTTCAAGAACAGTGGCTGATAACCTTCCTGGCTTTTCTGGCAGTAGGGAAAAATAGAGAAAATGGCATATACTCACCTTGAAACAAGAAAATGGCAAAGGAAGCATAGATTCTGTGCTGGATAATTCTATCTATATGTAATGTCAATGTGGCTATGGGTGAAGTGATACATAGTTTTGTAGAGTAAGTAACTTTTCCTGGTGAGTTTTTCCTGCTTCCTTAAACATTCTGTTTGGTTTTGGATGTACATTAGTAACATAGTGCAGGCATTTACATTACATGGATGAGTGCTACCATGTGCATGTCTGTAGTTGAGCAAACTGAACTCCTGATACTCCAGACGCATGGTAGGTGGATCCTGACAAAGATGTGTCAGTGAACGATCACTGTAAACAGCCATCTAAAAAGCCAATTGAAAATTTGGACATCCTGGATTACAACAATAGGTTGATTTAATTTTTATCTTAGCAATAAAATTACGACTATTATATACAGACCAAATTTGTAAGGGTTTTCTTTTGGTATGATTTTTTAAAAATACTATTACCCTTTTGGAATTTAAAAATGATCTCACAATAACATTCACAAATTTTAGAAGGTGTGTTATATGCTCAAATACAGTTTTTATTAGCTACCTTCTAAATGTTTTGCCACAGATTTCTAGGTGAAATACTAAAAAAGAGAAATTTGCTATTCATTAAACCAATAAAGATTGGATGTCTGTTTTGTCTCTAAATCATATTGTATACAAATAGAAACATACCTGATACCTGATAGACTAGAATGTACATTGGTTATTCTATATTTGAAATACATGGGGACAGTACCTGTCATCAAAAAATTTAATTGTCTATGGTTTTCAGATATAACAAGGTTTATTTATGGAGCCTTATCCATAATTGTCATCCTTGATAAACTAAGCTTTTGTGTTTTAAAAAGGAAGTTTACCTCAGTAAAGCTTCCTCTGCCTCGTCTCTACTCGGTGCTCTAAGCACCCTTATCATTAACAAATTCCTTACCTTTGACTTCAGTCAAATCGTCATCCATAAGCTTCATAATTTCACTGTTGTGTACATTTTTAAATTGACCTAATTTTACGGGAAGAACTATTTACAAATTACTGAATTAGCTTCTGATTATGCTTCAAAGAAGTAGGCTAATTGGGTATGTACTGACCATGTGCCAATCACTGACTATTAGTAATTAGTAAACTAAAGCAGGCCATTAATAAGTTGTTATGATTATACTTGCTCAACTGTGGATCTATTCTGTGTCCTTCAAGTCAGTCTGCTCCAAATTAATTGAATAATAGAAGCTACTGAGGCACCAGACTTAGAAATCATGGTACTGACTGAAGGCTATTAATGTGTTTGTTCATGTTCTTTCCTGCTGTGAAGATTGTCTTCTGTTTGGTTTACTGTATACAGAAATATACAAACCTACTTTAATCCACAGGGACAAAAAAAACCCATAAGGATTAAACTTTGTGAAAACAAATTTGGAGCACAATGTCATAAAGGAATTTGTATTCTAAAATAGTTTGCCTGTCTTTAAGTCATTGCTTTCTTCATTAATTAAAATATGACTTGGTATACACAATACAAAGTAATTTTATCTTTTCAGAGTAAGCAGGATACATTTTAATTTGTGTTTATGGAATGATTCATGATATCCTTGTAAAAATATATTTTCTTACTCTTTAAAATTAATTTGTTTAAGTTGTAACAAAGGAAATAGTGGTTCCTTCCATAGCATGAAGCATACAATACCAAAAAATACTGCAAACAAACTCAAGATAATTGTCCTTATAACAGAAAGGTTCTCCTTCTGTCTCACAGGAGATACAGCAAATGAAATGAGATGTAAAACATCTGAAGCAGAAGGCAGCCAGTCTTCGGAGGTAAGGAAAATACAGTGGGAATCCTTTGGAAGTAAAACTGAGGGATCACTGTGATTTCAGAGGCTCCAGCTGATTAGCAGTAACTTAACTCGCACCAAGAAGCAGGTGATCTGTGGGAGCCAGTGAGGACAGTCCTGGGAGGGCTTCCCAGATCTCATGTGTTTTCTAGTGCAAGAAATGGGAACTTTGAGAAAGAGAAGAAGAAGAAAAGAGAGATGGAGAGAGAAGGAGAGGGTGGAGGGAAAGGCAGGAAGAGAAATTAAGAGGAAAGGGGCATAAAAGAGAGGACTGGAGTTCATGAGAACAGTTTGACCTTTTCTGAGTGAATTTTGAGAATTCTTAATTGTCTTACTATTTATTTCAGCATTAGACAATATTTCTTGACTGTTCTCGAGAAAAACCAGTTTATGCCATCCTTTTCCATAAAAAAGCTGTTTTCTCCTGGAGGGAATGTTAGTATGTTAGGGTTCTCTCTGCACAATGTTTTAACAGTGTTTAATCACTAAAGTAATTATCTTTAAGACTTAGGAGAATGGTAGGTATTAGCTTAAACTTACATGGAAGAGACAGATGTGATTTTGCAGCTTTCTGCTCAGTGAGTCGTTCTCATGGCTCCCTGCAGCAAAAAAGCAAGTGCATCAGTGAGGTCAGGGTCTGCCCTGTCTGCTTCAGTACAGGAGCCTCAGTACCGGATCCAGAGTGCGTGCTCAAGAAGATTGCCAAACGAATACATTAATTACAATCAACTAATTAATACTGTGCTATAACTAGAAAGTTGCCTTTATTTTAAGGAATTTTTAATAATTTTCACTAAGCAAATGTTTTATAATCAAGGGAAAACTTACTTAAATTGATGAATAGGAAGAAAAATCATTTTCTTTTTTCACTTACCTGCATTTATTCTTTCATTCATTCATTCATTCATTCATTCATTCATTCATTCTACAAGTATTTACGAAACAGTGAGTATTCCTAAGGCATAGTACAAAGAACTGGGCAGATAATGATGAAAGAAATGGATGCAAGACACGAAGACCGTCTACCTCTTATATGGAAGCCCCTTGATCTCTTCAATGTTACTTCACTTCAAGCGTAGAGTGAGTGCAAAGTGTTGACCGTGAATACCGCCGTGAATAAAGCTGGATGCATTGGAGGCTTAGGAAATAACCACCATGACTTCTTAAGTTTCAATTGCTCAGTGTCTTTATCAGGCTACTGTTACAAAGTGCTGCACTAAATACTGGCTTATAGGAAATTATTTTAAGTTCTAAAGCTAGAAAGCCCAAGATCAAGGTGCTAGCAGCTTTGCTCTCTGATAAAAGCCTGCTTTTTAGTTCATGGGTGGTACCTTCCTGTGTCGTAACATGGAGCTTTGACCTTCCCTTATTAAAGGAAACAATCTACCTTATGAAGGTTCCACCCGAATAGCCTCATTATCTTCACAAAGCCATATGTCTTAATGCTATTACCTTAAGAATTCAGTTTCCACATGTCAAACCAAACGTGGGGGTGGGAGGGACTGCAGCATATTTCAGGATACACTGGGCATGTCTGTAGGGCTTGACAGTTTGTTGTTGCCATTAAGTCTGCTTGTCACTATGGAGACTTGCAAGGCTCCTTCTTAAGGAAAGGAGCATTTGAAGGAAGCAGTTACCAGGGAATCAACTTGGCTCATTGCTGGGCTGTGTTCTAGACTTTCCATTAGTACCTTAGAGCCAGTGTCCATACTCAGATGTGTCAGAAGTGCTTTCTGAGCAATGGAACAGCCAGTATTTGCTCTCAGAGAGCACAAAAGAGACAAAGGAAACCACATAGTTAAATCATAACATAAGAGGCTGTCTGTGGTTTATCATAAAAAAGCTAAAATTATTTATCCTTACTGTAAACACCTAAAATGTAATTCTTTATTTCTCTTCTTTAAAAACTCAATAATGAAAACATCGTTGTATACTCTATACTGTGTATGCCTTCATGTAGAAACAAAACTATCATCTAATCTGAGTGTTTTAAGCTCTGGTGAGAGGGTCACAACTCCCACAGTGAGTGTATTATGTACAAGCCTATGGCCCTGAGTTTGGGGCTATCTAGCCAGCTGACTACATTTTACTTATATCGAACACGTCAGCCCTTTCTTGATCATAGAGAGCTTTACTTGTTGATTTTTGCATTCCCAAAGTATCTCTGTCCAAGTTTTCATCATCTCAACATATCATCATCAATGACAGGTATAGACCTGAATCCCCGAGGCATCCTTGCCTCCACTCTGACCTTCACATTCCTTTTTATCTCTTTCAAGTCTCGTCATCTTAGCCTCTGGATTCCAACAGCCTTGCCACTGTTAGAACAGTCAAAGCCACCACTTGTGCCAGGCTTCTATCTCCAGTGTTCTCTTAGAGCCTCTCATCACATAGCCAACGAAAATCAACGTCAGGTCACACCATTCATTGGCTGGAGACTAGCTGATGTCTCACTAAGGAGAATGAGCACTAACCTAGAGAGGGCTCCAGGAACCCATGCACCATCCATTCTCATTTCTCCCCACACCCCACCCTTCCCTCTGTGCCACCAGCCTTCCTGTCATTTCATGATGCTGAGCTTTCTCTTCTTGTCCAGTGTGTTCCTGGCACTCACTCTCTTTACCAGAGCTTGCCTCTGCTTGTCATTACCATAGAAGTTATTGTTTATTTTGCTAGCCTTTCTCATGACTATATCTGCCCAAGGGTTCCACCCCTGGTCACCACCACATAACTCTATTTGTCTTCTCCACAACATTTATCACTGTCTCTCTTCAGTGATTTACCACCTGTCTAGAATTAAAATAGACCTTATAACTCAGATTTACATCTGGTACATACAATGTCCTGTCAAAAAAAATATGTTAATGATTGACTCAACAACCAAATTAGAAACCTGAATATCATTTGGATGTGTTTGTCTTACCTCTTCATCGTGTCCTGATGATTCTACCCACTGAGCATTTTCGTAGCAGGCTTATTTTCCTTCAGCTAGGTCCTCATCTGTGCACTTGACTGTTAATGGATCACCATTTCTTTCCCAGATCTCTTTCCAAAAGGTGAGTTTTGTCACTTCGGAACCTCTAAAATGCCTTGAAACCCACAGAATAAGAACTTAACCTCAGGCTGTATTCAGTCACTACCTCCTGTGAACCCTTTTCTCTGCTCCTGCAGCCAAAGACAACCATTTCTTCTGACCTCTTGTGCTGTTCTTGATGACTTCACTGTAATGCTGCCTTAGAAGGCAGAGCACACGCCTTCGTTTGAGCCATAGCCTCCTGTGCAGTGCCAGAAATGCCCTGCCAGTGACGTCTCAGTTTATGATTACGTAAGTCGTATTCTTTAACAAGTAAATCTCTTCATCGAATTCTGTTCTCTGCTTTATATTAGAAACTTAATCTTTTCTCCCTGTTTAAAAAAAAGAAAGGTGTTTTGTGTTTTGTTTTGTTTTGACTTCTTAGTAGTTACCCATTTTTTAAAAAAATCTTACTTTTGGCATTCTTCATTAACAACAAAAAATTTAATGATTTTAGATAGTTTTGAAGATTATATATCCGATAAAAAATTATAATTAGTATAATAGCAGAGAGATTAATAGTTGGCTTTAAAAGACTAAGAAATGCAGAAATGGTTGGTTGCTTGGTTGCTTGGTTGCTTGGTTGCTTGGTTGCTTGGTTGCTTGGTTGCTTGGTTGCTTGGTTGCTTGGTTGCTTGGTTGCTTGGTTGGCTAACTGGCAAGCCTGCTGGTTGGTTGCTTTATGTGTTAAGACAGAGCCTTTGTATCCTAGAACTCAGTATAGCCTTAAACTAGTGCAGACTCTTAGTGATCTTACTGCTTCAGATTCCTGAGGGCTGAATTACAGTCATAAGCTATCATATCTATCTGTAGAGATAACATGAGAAGAACAGAACTAGTAAATTAGAAGGGTTTCATAAAGCTACAAGTAATGTTTGTAGTACTTATGTTTGTGCATGTACACATGTGTGTTTGTGTGCACAGATGGATATATTTGTGTGTGTGCATGCATACATCTACATGTCCAGTTCCGCCTCCTGCAGCCATCTTCCATCGCCTATCTATCGTACCTCTCTTCAATGCTCATTTGTAGTTGAGTATTTTTTTTCTGTGTCATAACTGTTTTGGCATTCATTCGTTACATAAAGACATATTACAAGTCAGACTTCTAAGTGTCTATGTTTTTTTAATTATTTTTAAGCAGTGATTCACAGGGATTGTTCTTGTCTTTGTTTCATTCTTGTGCCAGTGAACATTTATTTCAGGATTGTATTTATTTCAGGAAATTATGAAAGTATTTTCAACACTATTCGACATCTAATTCTTGTATTTCAAACAAGTGCTTTCCTGGAATCAGTACACAGCTGAACAGGGTATGCTAATTAAATCTCATTTTGTAATTAATATATGAGATGTACTTTTTTCCTTTTTAATGATGTTTTTAGCTTAAGATATAATTACATCATTTTCCACCTCCTCTTTTCTCCCTTCAACCCTTCCCATGTACCCCTGGCCCTTGCCCTTTTTCTCAAGTTTGTGGCCTTTTTTTCTTTAATTGTTTATATATGTATTTTTGTGTATGTACTCCTCAATATATAAATACAACCTGCTTTTACTAGTATGCCTGTGATTTCAGGGCTAACCACTTAGTATTGGTACGATCAGGGAGCTCTCTGCCCAGGGGAAGGTTATTTCTCTAAATGCTTTCAGCATTTTTTAACTGACTGTAGTTATTTGTCTTTGGTTGGGACCTGCTGAGATACCCCTGCTTCCATGCTAGCAGGGAATTGGGTATTGGTGTCTTCCTCGTTCACATCTTGTTTAGGGAACCAAGTTGGTGACAATTCACAGGTGTAACTCCTGGTGTTTCTGGGAGATACACTTGGACAGCAGACTTCCTTTTCTCTGGGCCTTACAGTCTTTCTACCCCCTCTTCCAGGATGTTCTTTACCTTTAGGAGCAGGAGTTGT